ACGTAACGTAACGTAACGTAACGTAACGTAACGTAACGTAACGTAACGTAACGTAACGTAAGTAACGAGTAGAGTAGAGAGAGAGAGAGAGAGAGAGAGAGAGAGAGAGAGGGATTAATAAAAGTAGAAGAGTATGACTTTTGAAGAACCTAACCTAACATAACCTAACCTAACCTAGCCGAAATAAGAATGCGGGAATCGAGCCAATCAAATATGACTCGGAATACTTTCTCTCTCTAAAAAACAAACCTGAACGACCACGGAAAACACCGACTTTTTCCCCGTTTACCAATGGCGTGCATCGACATTTCCACATATTCAAACTTCCCGTCCCTATTTCCTGCAACCTATATAAAGGGCCTACCCTGCATCCCTACTCCCACACAACCCAACTCTTCTCTTTCTCTGTCTAAAGAAAACCATCACTCAAAACTCACCCCCTTTTTCTCTCTCTGGAACTTATGTTCTAACGGAGTTGTCCATTGGGTTTCTCTGTTCTGCCATCTTTAATCCCTGTTTCTCTCTCTAGAACTGTACTTCGCTTGTTTCTCTCCCTACAACTCTACTTTGCTGAAAGTTTTTCAAGAAACTTAGATATAAAAAATGGTGCTATCAAGAACCGCATCAGAAAGCGATGCCTCTGTGCACTCCACTTTTGCCTCACGATATGTCCGGGCATCTCTTCCCAGGTATACGTCCAACCCTCATTTTCTCTCTCTGGTATTTCTGTGGCGTTCATTTGAGAAATGGATCTCAAATTGAAAACCCATGATTATATTTTTTTCAGTTTACGAATTTTTGTGTTTTGGGGGGAGTTTGCAGGTTCAGGATGGCTGAGAATTCCATCCCGAAGGAAGCGGCTTATCAGATTATCAACGACGAGCTGATGCTCGATGGGAATCCGAGGCTGAATTTGGCGTCGTTTGTTACGACATGGATGGAACCAGAGTGTGATAAGCTCATCATGGCCGCCATTAACAAGAACTATGTCGACATGGATGAGTATCCCGTCACCACCGAGCTACAGGTAAAGATCTCTCTCTCTTTCAAGAGTAGATCTATATCTCTCTCTAGAGGCAACAGGGACCAAAGGATCAATCTTCCTCTCTCTCTAACGATATGTTTCCCTGATCTCTTTCTATCTCTCTCTAAAATTTGTAGTGTAATTCAATCTGTTTCTCTCTCTTCTGTATTGTAGAATCGATGCGTGAACATGATCGCCCATCTCTTCAACGCTCCATTAGGGGAAGAAGAAACGGCAGTTGGTGTTGGGACCGTTGGATCTTCAGAGGCCATAATGCTGGCAGGGTTGGCATTCAAGAGGAAATGGCAAAATAAGAGAAGGGCAGAGGGAAAACCCTTCGATAAACCCAATATTGTTACTGGTGCCAATG